GGGGGGGCGGGGGGAAGGAGGGGGATTTCACAAGAATATTTAGGGCTAATGCAGTGATCAGGTCGATTTTATCTTGACAGAACCAAAATCATCCGACTCCCCCCCCTTCTCTCCCTCTCTCTCTCTCTCTCTCCCTTACATCAAAACATTAGGAGCCGGTTATTTTAACGAGGTCTAACCCAAACGGCGGCTTTACACAAGCAGTGGGCTCTACGTATGCTCTTTATGAGGGTTGTTTCTATTTAATAAATGTCCTTCCAAAGTTAGATTTCGGTCCTCTTGACACCGTGCACAAAAATAAAAGTTCAAATAAAAGATTCAGCCAAATTCTGTATAGTTTTTTAGTTTTGTTAAAAAGCAGTTAAACTTAGTTTAAATAAGCGGTTTTCAGATTTCTTTCGTTAATGTGGCTTTCAAGTTCCTATGAAGACTTTATAAAACAAGTATGAGTCATTTCAATATTGTTTTAGAGTATTGTTTATCCCTTCACTGTCTCGGACAGTTACAAACTCGGTCATGTACAAGTATATTACGAAAACGCCATGTGTAACAATTCTACAACTACACCGTCACTTATTTTCAAAAATAGAATATCCTTCTTTAATTTTGATAACATGTTCCAGATATCTAGTATAAATTACAACTGAAACAATAAGTTAGGAATTTAACCATGTATTTTTAAATAGTCCATTGTTGGATAGCGATTAAACCGTACTTGGTAGAGTTGAATGGTTATGAAAGCCGGCAAAAATGGGAGAAGAAAAAGAAAAACAGTGTCGCAGGTTATGCTGGGATCTCACTCAGAACAGAGGATCTTGGTCTTCGTGTTCACACAGTGTGAATAAATACAGGGACAGAATCAAGAATTTTCCAACCTAGATTCAGAAAACCCTAAATAAGCCAAGAAATACTTTAAGATTAGTAAAATGTATTCAAGTTGTCTGACGCAACTAGAATACATTTATGAGAAGTTCTAAGTATTAAGTAATTTCAGCGTGATTGGAATTGTATTGGATGTTAGCTCGACCAGTTTACAATACCTAGACAAAACCATACAACATCAATATTCTGCCGGGTTTCACAACCATTACAGCACATTATTAACTATAGTTCAACAAAATCCTCAGCAGACATAACTGTTTGCTGAAACTGTCTAGTAATCAAGGGCTCAAGGATCGATCGATTAACTAAGAGTTAGATCAACGAGAGGCGTGTTGAAAACTGTCTTTGCCAATATGGCTATGCATAGCATCTTCTGTCTTATAGTTTAACTATAGTATCTAGCTATAAATAACTTTTGAAGTATTTGTATATTTATAAATAACATTTTCATTTTACACACTTTACCTTTTTTCTTAAGTAACTTTTTTTTTATCTATGTTTTGGTGATAAATAGTAAAGATAATTAGCGCGCTTCTACTCTATAGAAGGCGATGTGGTCATTCGTCTTACTAGATAAATAGGAGGAGTATGCTCCAGAAATCATATCAGTTACCGCATTTTAAGATTTCAGAGAGTAACCTAACCCGTCGCAAATTGTCCTTAAACGCTCTAAACATTCGACGAACGGGCGCCGCCATTTTGAAAACAAATGAGTAACCTGGTCGCACACGCGACGCTGTTCATGGTCAGCTGATGCTCTGAATACCGAAAAAAAAATGGATAAATAAAAAAGATAATCGATATTCGAGTTTAGAAAGCCGTTTTGTGTAGCTTCCTATTATTCAAGCAGACCATTGAGAGATGGAAGAAAGGAACGAGCCCAGATTCTCGAGAAAGATTCGAAATGGTGGTGTCCTTTGTTTCTTTTTGAAATCTCAAAATGCGACCAGTCTCACAATTTAATGCATACATTGAAATATCGGAGGTAGTATGGTTTCTGGAGCATAATTTTCTATTAAATTAAACAAGACAGAACGTCGACGATGACATCTTTCAATGTGTAAAGGATAGCATAGTTTCGATAGGTCTTAACCACGTCATCAGTAATCGTCAAGCTCTGGTGATAAAGATAAATATGAAAGAAGGCTTTTAGATTTCTACGTTGCAAACGAGAGGCAAAGAAGCTTAGTGTGTCAGATTTTGGGGTCTAAAGGTCATTAAAGGGAATAACTTGTTAAGTCTCTTTACCATTATTTTCCGTAGCCGCTTTCTTGCTTACGGTCTACGTAAGCAGCTACGGGAAAAAAATCTACGTGAAATTTGTTTATTTCTAAAGCGCTTTATTAAATAAGTATAACCTGCAGTATAATCTCATCGAACGAGCCTGCACTGAATCACAACTTTCTGACAAGTTATCAAGGTTTCCCACGGTAGTTGTCAGTGGGGACTACAGCAGAGCCCAGTAGGGAGTTTAAAATGTCATGACGGCGGCGCTTAGTGACTGAAAAAGTTAACTTTCTATCTTGTAAGCATTTTGCGCATATTTGCGCCGAACCTCCTTCTTCGAAGAGAAACGTGAATAATCCGGTGGCTAAGTACTCGTTCTCAGACAGTGAAAAAATTTTCGTGATTCCACATTATTTTGCTTTAGATGACCAGGAAATGTACAAAGTTTGAAAACGCACGTGTAGAGCTATTGTTTTGTCAACAGAACCTTTTGTTTCGCCACGTTCTTTTTGCTATCACCGTCGTGTTGTCCTCAAAGTCCGCAATCTTACAGTGACGTGAAGCCTTTGGATTTGCATGAGTGTTTAGGGCATAAAAATTTAGTTTTGCATAGGAAGATATACCACCTACCACATGGTTGCTATTGACGAGGGCATTTAGAAATACTCTAGTATAATCGTCTAGCTCTCTCTCTGTCTTTTGCTGAGGAGGGAGCAAGGGCAATCCCGAAACCTAAAGTAAAAAACAAAACAAAAACGATTTCACTCAATACTGGGATGTGAACGAAACTCTACTATTATTAAGTTCACTTTATTCTTACATTATGATATATCGCCAGGTAGGTACTGTTGAGCCAATGGCTTGTATCCTTGAGGACCTTTGCTAACAGAGAATGCTGATTTCCTTTTGTTTCTTCATACGAGTATGCCAGCGAGAGTGGGAAGACGAAGGTGGATAACTTTGTGTACGCAATAGAGAGGTTGTCTTTTCTTGTCTACAGAGCGAAAAAGCATGCCAATGATATTTTTGAATTTTTTACATCGATTAAGGAAGTATTTACAAATTTTAACTTATCACTACATTGCATGAGTTCTTTTTGTAAGGTTTATTTGAAGTTACGTAATTGTTTCTCTTTTAACTGTGCCAGCACGTGTAAAGGTAATCCTCCTGTCTTTTAGTTTTCACTTACGATGTCTATAATGTAAGAAAACTGTAGACGACAATGACCTAAAATACACAAACTTAGGACGTATGTACCAACTCGCTTCAGTTTGGCGTGAATTCAGTTGAATGTAAGCCTGTGGAGTATTCACGTGTTCAAAAAATTCCTGTTAAGGGTGAACTTTTTGGGGTTCTCCTTGTGAGTGATGCCCATGAAAATACTAGTGAGTTTGAACTTCACATCACGCGACACGGAAAAGTGGGTGACAGTTGTACTTTGGACACTTCGAAGAGTGAGTTGTAATATTTTTTTCTCTTATTTCCTCGCTATTTGAATGAGAAAACAAGTGATTTCAATTCAAACAGGGATGTTTCATTACCATATATAATCACTTACTTTAACTGTGTTAGATTTGCTTTCTTTGATTGGCGAATGTAGGTGCTTCAGTTGAAGCTCGTTATCAACGTTACAAAACTATTCACCTAACAATTTTTCAACTTGTGCCAGAAAACCACCCACTTCGCTCGTGGTTTCACTTGATTTTTAAACAGTTTATGACGTGAATTGCACTGTCAAGAAGATAATAGACTCCAAAAAGATGGAAGAGAATTGCTAACCAGTCTCATGATTTGCGCGCGCTTAGGCTGGAGACGTAAGCGACGATAAGATAAGTGCATTAAGCTCGATAGAGCACGCGTGCTTCCAAATGCACACACTTCAAATTTGATCCGACCAATCAAAAAGCGCAAATAACACAGCATGTTAAAATTCTTTTTATTTTTTCCTTGACGACCTGTGTTGGAGAGCTATTGATACTTACCGTATTGTCAGAGCATAACTGTGTGATTTCTTCTACTAGATATAATTCTGTTTCTTTAAGATCCCAATTGTTATCTATCCAAGGGTAGAGTTTTAACATCTAGGAATATTTGGAAGAGAAAAAATGATAGGTTTTCTAAGATAAGACCACTGAACTTAATCAACAGATAATTCAAATTAGAAAAACGTATCTCTTCTCCGTTTTTATGTTTTTGTTTTTTTTTTTTTTTGTTTTTTGTTTTTTTGTATTTCCTTTTCTTTTTATTTATTTATTCCGTTTCTTACCTGTTTAGTAGCGTTGGTTTGCCTTGGCAGCAGGACAGCTTTGACAATCACTTTTGCACTACTCAAGCGAGTCGTGGAAGCAACTAAACTTAATACTGTCATAATCATGGCACCGAGCAGGACATTGTAGTTCATTTCTAGATGAGCAGAGAAAGAAAACGCACAGTTAAATAACTTTCGTAACTCTTTTTCGTCGTAGCAGGAGTACGAAGAATTGCATCGAGATTGCACCGGAGTGAGTTGATCCCGAAGCCAGTTTGAATGGATTACAAGCGGTGAAATGATTTTCAAAAGCCTCCGTTTTAAAATGTCGACGAAAATATCATACGAAACCTTGCGACTCTTTTTAAAGTGCTTTTCATAGTAGTAATTTTAGGTACGTTCCTGTCTCATTCCAAATCAAAGTTGTAGTCAGTATTTACCTATCCCTTTAAGGTTTGTTGCTGTAGGCCAATCGCTCTGAATTGAATTCTGTCCTTGTTACAGTTACCCACTTCCCATATGGCAATCGATTGGAACTTGATGGACGGTCGTTTACACAAAAGCGAAACCGTGCTACTGATTACCCTCACTTTTTCTATTAAGGATTGCCGACAAGGAGATTTCCGTCACGCTTCTCCCTTGTTCTCTTGAGAAATCCTCTTTACTGAACGTGTCACGCGGATTTTGACCGTTTTTTATTATCACTCAGCAGTAACACTTAATACATTTGCGCTTATTAAAGGAAACAACAGGGGTTTAAAGGAAGTTGGATTTTTTTGAACATCATCAGCAAAAAAAAAATTCGGCTCGTTTTCTTTCTTTGCTTTGGAACCCACCCAAATTAGAAAAGGCAGAAAAAAACCTCAAAACCAACTTTTTTAAAAAAAATGCACCGCGTTTCAACCCAATGTATCGATTTTTTTGACACTAATTGACAGTTTTGTAACAATTTCGTGGGGGTCGCAAAGTTTATCATAATCTGTATGTTTATCTTTTTAAAACGACGTTCTTAAATGTTGGACGTGACGCTAGATCCCATGACATTGTTATTAAGAATTTTTTCACATTCTGGTAAATTCGTCAGGGTGCTCTTTGTCCTTTTTGCCGGGAAAGCCACAAAATGAAAGGCAAATCAAACAAAACCAAGCGAAAATTTTTAAAACAAAGCATGATCATTTCTGAAAACAATCAGTTTTTCTGTATTTCCACTTTATCAATAATGAATTGAGGAGCTCGTTCACAGCCAGGATTGTCACCTGCATGCTTCCAAAAGGTGAGGAACCAAGTACTCGTTTTCCATAGTCAAAGGAAAAACGGAATTCTGGGGAGGTGGAATCATAAAAGCGATAACTGTTTTCATCCTGTAGACTTATTGATTGCTGATTAACTTGCTTCCCACGTTCAAAGAAAACAAAACGAAGTATCCAAACATCGCATTACAATTTTCACGTGCAACCAGGTTAGGGTTCAGCAGTATGACAGTTGACCCATTGACTGTTAGACTGTCTGGCCATTAAACGATGGAAAAGCAATTAAATATCCATTTAATGAGCAATTTTTAGTCATCAGGTAAAAGTATGCTTTTCTTTATTTCAGTTTTTCCGACTTTAGTCAATAATGCTCTCCAAAATAGCCATTTATAATAAATAAATGAGTTTTGGATTTTATCCAGTGAACGATTTTTGTAGGCACAAAAGCGATAGACACGTTCGAGCAAAACAAACCTTTTTTTAATACAATATTTCATGCGACGTAAAATGCATTCCTCAAATTTTTATTGATTTATCTTGGCAAAAAAATGAAAACATAAACTCCCCTAATATCACATGAGTACATGTGGGTAAGTTGTTTGGTGTGTCCTATGACGTTCACGCGTCTTCTTGGAAAAATTGGTTGCCGTGCACGTAAATATTCTTTATATCAGAGATTACAAAGAGGAAAAATTAAGAATGAAAAGAAACAAGAAAATTTGTGTCGATAGGATGGGATCATCGAGGTTGTGTTAATACTTAAGGATATGAAATGTTTTCTTGTCGGACTGCTGCTTCTTTGGAAAAGGAGTTTGTATTTGGTATTTGTCACCAAATTCTTAATTAATCAATGATAAACGTTCTCAGTATTTATCTCCTTGGAGTTGTCAACCCGGTGTAAAAGTATTTTCTGTATTTTATATATATGTATTTTCCAACTATCTTTAAAGAAAAGCAAGCTCTTTAGTTAATTCACACCGGTTTGCAATGGGTAAAAAATAAAATTATATAACGGTTTCCAATGGTTACTAATCTCTTTATGGTCACTTTGCTGTAAGCTTTAACTCGGAGAAAAGATTTTCAAACAAAGCTTTCCCATTAAAATATTTAGTTGAGTATAGGTCAAAAGCATTCAGAGAAGTGTAGAATCAATAAAATTCTACCCAAACAACTTAGAGGCCTTCACTCCCTTTTGACATACGTTTTGGATACCAATCTTTATTCAGTATCAGTACTGACCAACACGAGCGAGCTACATTCAACTTTTCCATTAAAACATCTGGTGTACCAAAAATCTAGATGTACGCCTGGTGGTCACTGAGCCAGGGCGAGTTCAGTAAAGTTGAAAGTTTAGGGTCGTTTCCCCTTGAGCACAAAATATTCGGTTTGCAAACTGCCGTTGGCTAAGCCACATATCAAGACAAGCACTGTAACACGTTTCAGGTTTATCACCTGGTGCAAATGGCTCTTTTGCAACTTGCAAAGCCCTCAATGGCGACAGTTCAGTTCATTCAATTCCAGAGCATTACTCTTCGATGTTACGTAACGCAATTCTACCAGTGAAGGTCAAGCGAACACATTATTCTCTGGGGTACACCATAATTTTTCTCACGGCTATCAATTTTAGTTAGAAGCTCACAAGATACTCGTTGGCCGACCTCGACTTACGTACCGCAGAAATATGATGGATCACAAGATCCACACGAGAAAAACAAATTTTCTTTAACCGGCATTTGAAATGGGCAGCGATTTAGCCTCAAAACATCCGTCTTGGTGATAATTTGCGCAATATTGATGTAACCTTTGTAACCTTTCAACCAGAGGTACATTGTCTTTTCACAAGTTATTAAAACATATGCATTAATGGAAAAAAAATATAAACAGGACTGAATAACGAGGGACCATTTCCTTTATCATAGAAAAATGTTCACACATGAAAACAGAGGCAGACCTGTGAAGAAGTGCGTTTTGCAAGCTAACTTTGCGTATTGTTTCGTTTAGTGACTTATTATAAAACATATCACCAATTGAAAAGAAGGCCGGTTCACCAGCCCATCCCAAAGGTTTTTAATCCATAGTTTGATATGTAAAATGATGAAGCGTAGTCGAACCGGCTGTGAAGGAGCATCACTTAAAAATGTATATTTACAAGTGTGAGCACTTTTCTATGATAAAGGAAATGGTCCCTCGTTATTCAGTCCTGTTTATATTCTTTCCCATTAATGAATATGTTTTAATAACTTGTGAAAAGACAATGTACTCCTGGTTGAAAGGCTACAAAACAATAAAAGCTCTTTTTCCGGAAGTCTCTCCCCTAGATAAACCGTGATTTGTAAACAGGAACTCAATGGTGGTAAACTAGCACAAATCTTTTCCTTGCTCTGAAAACAAACATCTAATCGCGTTCTTCTTCTTTGACAGTTCTAGAGTGGTCCGTGGTACGAAACTTGACATTTGAGAGAAAATTTAACGATACATTAGGTCACCGAACGCCTGAAAGTATTTCCCTTTAACGTGAGAAATTTTGTCATAGGTTATCCTATTGGTGATAACGTATAAACGATGTCTAATAAGTGTTGAAAACTTAGTGGTCCATTTATAGTAGCTATCATCTATTTCTGTCATGACCCCTTTTAATCTCTTAATCTACTAATGGCTTCACTCTTAGCAAAACATTAGTCAGCGGGTGAAAGATCAGTTCCAATTTGGCGTGACGCAATTTAACACCACGGGAGATACCATGTGTACGCACAGCTACAATTGTTGGTATATCAATTGTATTGCGTCGAATTGTCATAGTGCCACATTAGACTAGCTGTGATATCGCTTATGAGCTCATATGTGCGTGTTATTTGAACGTTGATAGCATGCTATCGTGGTACTGATGAATATAAATGTCATTAGATAACTGACACGTGGCCTAAGGCGAATCGGAGATTTCGAATCTGCTTATGTTGTTAAAACCTGACAATCTCATTCGCCGCAAGACTTTTGAAGAGACTACCGATTTATGGTAATAACAAAATTTACAAGGGTTATTTTTAGAGAGAAACATGTTCGTATTGTAAAACTATCCATCAACACTACAATTTGATCGGAGCTAAACTCCTAGTAAGGCTTTAAAGGATTTCAATTTTAGAGAAGAGCGCGCGGATAGGAATTTTTTTTTAAGGATAATTCATTTTCATCTAACAGTAAGCAAAATTTCTCATGATATTTTTGCGACCTATATACCCCCAACTTGTCAATGTAAATTCAAAATAACTATTCGTGATAGGGAAGAGAGACCAAAGGCCAAAGACCAAAAATGGGCATTGATTATTTAGATGAGAAAAAAAAATGGGGAAGGATTTTTTTTTTTAGAAAAGCTAAACGGATTAAAAATAAGGAAATTGAACACCCCGAAAAAATTATTTTTCGCTGCTTCAACCTCGCCAGTGATTTTATTCATTGTATGCGGCAATCACAACTTACACAACGCAGGGGTTCGTAGCCGTAAATTCGTTTGGCCAATCAGCCTCGAGCATTGACCGCGCCCAACAGTCGCCTTACGCGAAAACATAAGCATGTTTATAAAATCAGAAAACTCGTCAGCAAAAAGAGAAACGCAGGTTTTCAAATTAAGACCTTGCCAAACAAAAAAAGATTACTTACACTTAAATCAAGTGTATGTATATCTGTAAATGTATATGTTATTTGGGTAATGCTATTCTAATCATTAGAGTTTTTCGTTGGAATTGAATTTAAAATTACAGTAAATCACTTTGAGCACTAAAATGAGCTTGTTGGTTTTTGAAATTCCCTGTAAAACAAAACATTTTCTGTTCAAAGTCTGACGGACTTATTTGTAATAGTTATCACTGTGTACTGTACTGGCTGGGGTGATATATTAACACATCTCCTTCTATGGATGCCTTATAGCCAAGCAACTCTGCAAATAGACTCACCTGAATTATGTTTTTGAAAACCGATATTGAGAATGACAACCGTGTAACTGAGAAAGATTCCGCTTTGCCGTGTTTTTCTTTCGACTTAAACAGAAACTACCTTTCTTAAATATGACAGTGAACCTAGGAATTCTTAGAATGAGACCTAACTCCAAGGAAGTTGATGTAAACTACTTTCTACAAACCAAAAAGAGGAAAAATATATAGACTGACCTTGGAAATTTATTGAACTCGAACACATTGACTATAGGACGCTTCTTATAAAAATATGGACTACGGACTATGGACTGCCGACGACCAGTAACTTCGTCACATCTGGTTGGCTCACCCGAGTGATAATTATGTAAATCGATTCTACCCTAGCACAGAGTGGCGTTCATTGCGCCACTCAGCATTCAGTTCAATCGTCCAATTTTGTTCTTCCTGTAAAAATCGTAAATTCATGGGTTTTCCCTCACTTTGAATTAAATGCAGAAAAGCGACTATTTGAACAGCCACTTATTACCCTTATGGCGCTCGTGTAAGTTGTTTAGACGTTTCCCAAATTCCTGACGATAATTAGATAAGGAAGTTGCGCATGTTTTTCATATACGGAGAGGTAACTTTGCTGCGTAAAAGCAAACGGGAAAAAAACACGCACCAAGAAGTAATGAAAATCTTTCAGAATGCATAAAGTAACTAGCTGGGGAGCTAATCCAAAATAGAGGAAGCGAAAATAAATAAAATCTGCTAGTTGATCGTCACAAACTCATTGATTGTGCTTTAGATTTTGGTTATTTTTAATTTTTTAAGTATTAACTTTGGATATCGTCGACAGTACTGTGGGGAGCTTTACGGGGGATCTCTGTAAATATGATCAAACCAGTAATGTGAGAACGAAGTATGATAATAGAATCTGAATTGCTGGGTAAATAAGACTATTGGATAAGGAAATTAGCGAGTTGTGGTCCCTTTTGTGATATCTAAGCCCGAAAAAGGCCGCACATGTATCAGCTATCTCAAAACTGGTGTGCACTCCTTATGTGGTACCTCTGTAAGAGAGAAATCGCTACTCTTTTTAAAATTCTCATGGGATCTCCTGCCTTGTCGTGCAATGTCACAGAAAATAATTTTAACAACAAGACTTACCGCGAAGTTGAAGAATGATAGAAATTTTACCACATGACAGCGGAATCCGAATGAATCAGCGGTTGAGCACCACAACTATTTTCTTAGCCCTTCTTTCTAGGTAATGTTAATTCTTGGTAAAGAAGTTTTTGTAGCCTTTGTCTCAAGCGTAATCTTTGACAACTAAACACCCATTGAATGTTCTAAGAATGACTCGCACAAGCGCCACGCTTTTCATGTGATTTCCTAGAATTCTAACCGCACGTGATGGAATCTCCATAAAACTTTAACTTGCAGGCAAGTCCCGCTTATTGTCCAATCAATTTGGATAATCGCCGGCTCTATCTTCCTGATCGCATGTTCACGAAACTATGTTTCTTTTGGAACAGAGATCGTGTCTGTATGTGGCTGATTTCATAATTCTTGAAGCCTTCTATTCCCTTTTTCTTCTCGATTTGAAGTCATCCCTTTCCCCCTCCAACGAAAAGAAGCGGCATATCTTGATCTAGCGAAGGTTATCCTCCCACCCCGTATTTCTTCTTTGAAAACCCCATATGTCCAGAATTTCGCATCTCAATTTGCCACAACAACATCTAGAAGTTACTAGATTTTAGATATGAAATCACTTTAATTGTTGAACTTATTAGAAAAATCGATGAAAAGGAGTAACCGCTCACCTTTTGCATACTTGAGGTGTAGTTGAACATGAAATTAATTCGACAAGAAACTTCAACATCCTCGGAATCATCATGCACATGAAATCTTCTCTGGGAGAACAATCGACAAAACTGACCTTTGTTTAAAAGCAAGGCAAAACGAATGAGTGCTTTTACGACTTGGGAATATGATCTGTCCTGCAGCCAAAGTAGAACTATATTTACCAATAGCCAGTGCTTTCTCACATGACGTTCTGCCTAGCGGATGACGTCCAGTTGCAAAGCAAATAAGCACAACGATTGTTAATTTACCGAAAATGTACGTGCTCGGAGCTAATATTTCCTTTTTTAACTTTTTACAAGTAGGTTGTAAAGAGACAACAGTTTTCTTTCCACCTCACTAAATCTCGAGGAAACTTTTCATGCAATTTAAATGAACAAAGGACATTGCATCGGTTTCTTTTTACAATCCTGATGGGCTTTTACTACGACAAAATGGACTCGAGAGTCCTTATTTTTGATAATCCTTTCAAAGAAAAAGAGATTTATCGTATACTCCAAGCACGCCGTTTAGATACTTTGAAAGTGTTATCAACAAGAGAAGACATTCGGGTCTTTTTATCTTGTTTTTAAACTTACAAAAGTAACGCTGTTTTAATGTCCTCAAACGAAGTAAATATATGGCAGTACATCGGAGCACGTGTTTTGCAATTTATTTGAATGTTATTTTTACACTGCAGTTACTATATTTTATTTTAGTAATTCTCTTATCCGAGAATAATTCACAAATTTTCTAATTTTTTCTAAAAAGTACGTGCCTCTTATCGCGTACATGCTACTTTGTACTTTCTTTAATCATTGTCTGTGTACAGAGTGTGCAATGAATAAGCTTTGACTTTAACATTTCAAATACCGAAGTCCAAGATAAGTTTGATAGAAAAAGGGTTGATGAGTCATAAACCTTTTTTCCACCAAAATTATTTTGGATCCCCTCTGAATTCTGCTACAATACTTCATGTGTTTAAGAAGCACAAGTTTCCTTTAAGCAGAGTTTAAGTAATCAGCTCTAACTCAAATTTTAGGAGACTTAGATTCCAGACTTTATTTTAGATTTTTACTTGAGTGACATTAAGTATTGACGATGCTAGTTTCAGTTAATCTTCTGCCTTATTCTCTCATTCCAGATACTTTATGTGGCTTGACGCAGCAGACGGGTGGACTTTTGAGAGACCGGACTTTATTCCCGCATGTACTCGTGCCGTGAAAGACATCGGATCTTATTACGCGAGATATTCCTCAGTTTTGGTAAGAATCACCCTCTGTCAGTATTAAAATTCTCTTTAAAGCATTTCCTAGAACGTCTACTCTACAGATATTTGACGGAAGGAAGTGCCAACTTCGAGGGTTTCCGATATTTCTCCATATCCTTATTCCGTCGCGTAGAATTCCTGTTCCCGCGCGGTCAACCAAAAATTTCCCGTGCGGGAGTGGGCTAGTAAAGTGACGTCACGCATCCCTTTTACCCGATTGGTTTGTTTGTCGGCTGTCTTCGCGCGAGAAGTCAAGAAGGATTTAGGGCCTGATTACATGAACCGGGCTGATTTCTTTTGTTTTCACGCTTTGGCGAACACCAAAACAAAAGAAATCAGCCCGGCTCATGTAATCAGGCCATAACTCAGTATTCCTGTTTCGAACGAGTTGTAAGCCTAAGTATATCAAGGACACCTGAAAAATGGCTCGAGATAAGCGCAGCGTAAACTTTTATGCTGACTACAGGCGGCCCAAGCTCACTACTAGAAAAGCGGACGTGACTCTTACCGTGTTGCGTAACGTTTTATATTTATAAAGGTTTGTATGGGATGTTATCGGTTTGCCTTAAAAGAGAGAAAAAAATGTCTTGTTTTGAAATAAAATGGGCTTACCTTATTGCCTTGTTGTTTTCTTTGTTGATTCCGAGCGTCTCAGGCCATTTTGAAGCGTTTTCGGCGAGTTAGCGCTATGTTGGTGTTCAACTGCTAAAAGAAAGACAAGGCCGGAAACCTATTTTAGAAGCGTCCGTCGCCCGAAGCGAATAATTCCGCCAAAAAATTACCACCAGTCTCGATTCCTCCAGAAAATCAAAGCAGAGATGTTGCAGTTCCATTTTCCATTCACTCGATTCACAATTCCTCCCACAGATCTTTCACTAGCGATACTTTTATCTCCAGATCGATCGGCTTTCCAATTTCGAATTTGGCTGCTTGAAACGTTCGCGGCCCGTTCGCCGATCGCACAGTATGTTGGGTAACAAAAATAAGCCCGGCGAGGGTAGCCAGCGGCCTGCAGTCCAAAAACAAACCCGTTAGCTCCCCTGGTCCCCTCGAGAGGTTTTGTCAAGACCGCATTGTTTTGATCGACCAATCAACATCGAATG